AATTTGCCTCCGTAAGGGGGAAAATGAGAGACTCATTTGGAAGCAAAATTTGCCTCAGTGGCCCACCAATGCCTTCCTCTCCCAGATGACATATCACAGGTCGTTCCTGATTTCTTAGAACCGCTTTTTGATGTCCAGGTATCATTTTTTCAAGACACTGTATTGGTTAGGGACATACAAATCTGTCAATTTCAGTTTCTCATTTTTCCAGTCTTACAATAAGTAAGCATTGAGAATGTTTTGAATCTTAAATTCAGACTTTGAAATCTTATTTTTTTTAAGTTTGAAAATGTGTACACATCATTGTGCATGACTTGTTTATTTATTAGATTTATATCCCACCTTTTATTTTTTAAAGAATCAAAGTGGTTTACATCATTCTCCTCCTTCAGCTCTCAATCTTATCCTCACAACAACCCTGTGAGGTAGGTTGCAGCTGGCCAAAGTCACCCAGCTGGCTCCGTGGCTGAGCAGGAACTAGAACCCAGATCACCTGAGTCCCAGTCCTGCGTGCTGAACCACTATACCACACTGGCTCTCCAATGATGTCAGGGGGCTGGCCTCTCCTTTGTAAAGCCTTACCCCCTTCCACAAAGCTAGGCTTCTGGATGTGATGACTTTGCCCAATATACGCAATTTTAAAGCAATCTTCCTAACATAACACATTCTAAACCATTATTTTCATCAAATTATGCATGTTGTGTGCACTTCTGCTCCTAATATAAGCATTTATGTACACAGTTTTTAAAATTGGAGACTTCCATTGGATAAATTCATGGAAGAACCATTGAATGTTGGTTTGCATATTGATTCATGAAATTAAGTATGAAATTAGGCAAGTAGACCAGAAGCATTCACAAAGCATCTTTTTATCCTAACAAATAAAACTCCTCCATTCATTTCAGTGCCTATTTAAATGGCATTGATCAGCAAACCCAGTGCAAAAGGTCCATTTCTCTTGGAACAACACCCATCATTTCATAAACTGACAGTTACCCTTTTCTCCGCTGCCTCTTGACGCCATGCCCAGCACCACCAGCATATGGGTTCAACACTCTCCCTGCACCCCAGATGGTACCGAGGGAGGGTGAGGAATGCTTGGATGACTATGAAGTCATCTTGACTCCTGTCGTTTCTGAGACACCCTGTCTTTTGAATCAAGCTGTCATTGATGAGCTGTGCATAGGTGTTCTCAGGGGGACAAGGCTCCTGTGCCTTCAGGAGCTGCTACTAAGCTAGTGAAACTTTTCCGGACATGGAGGAGAAGCGTTGTGCTTCTTGGCAGAATGGGATCCGAATCCAAATGCCATAGGTCCAAAGCTCTCAACTGCGTTGCCTTGTGCAGAAGAGGAGATTTTGGCAGGTGCCGGCTTTCTCATGAGAAGCTGTACATGCCACAATTGGGAAGGTCTCAGTTCAGTGGGTGGAGCACCTAGTTTGCATGCAAAAGGCCCTGCATTTGATCCCCATCATGTCCAGGTAGGGCAGCAAAAACTCCTGCCTGAATCCCTGGGGGGCTGCTGCCAGCCGGTGTGGGCAATGTTGGCCTAGCTAGACCAAGGGCTGGTGCAGAAGAGGGCTGCTTCCTCGCTTCCCCCTCACCCAACTGTTACAGCAACATAGGAGCAGAACAGCCTCCTGCAGCTTGGCCCCCCAGCTGTGCAGGACTAGAACCCCCGTTATTCCCAGCCAGCTTGGCCAGTGGTTCCAGCCAGCATCTCCTGGCCAGCTGGAAAAGACCCTGCCAGTGCCTGTCAGTGTCAGCAAGACTTGGCCAGATGGATCAGTGCACTGACACTGCATAAGGCATCTCTGACATTCATTTTGCTATCATACACAGCGCACAAACACTTTGTGAATGGTGCAAAGATGCCTTCATCCAGCCAGCCTTAATGCTTCCCCATGGGTGAAGCCGAGATTTGAATCTGCATCCTTTTCGTCAGGCTTCTGTGCCTTTGAAAGCAAGATATTGGGTGGATAGGGTGGACCGGGGGGGGGGGGGGCGGATTCAAGAAGTGTCACTTCTCATGCTTTTATTTCCTGAATTTCTCCCATCAGGCTGCTCTTAATAGAACTAGGGAATCTGAAAGAGAAAAGAAAAAGCAGGAGCATCCAATCTTGTTATCCAACAGACTCACAGGGAGGAGGTGTTCCCTGGATGGTACTTATCTGTTTGGAACACTTTTAAAGTGCAGAAATCGTGTACTTGGAATAAAGTGCATGAGAACTGAAGTTCCCATGTGACCCAGGGCCAATGGTCACGGACCCAGGGCAAGTGGTGCCCCCTGTTGCTGTGCATCTGTACTTCTGTTCCATAGCACTCTTTATTTTACCTCTATTTATGATGCAAGAGGGCAGCCACCAAAATCACCATGCCAAGCAACACAGAGTATGAAAAAGATATGTCTGGACCAACCATAATGGGAATAAAGACACACACATGTTGGGCTTCTGGCAGGGCTTTTATATCTTTGAATAGCTGAGTGACAGGCAGAAATTCAACAAGTGAGTGTTTGATTAAAATAGAGATAGTGGGAAAGCTTTACTTCAGGAATAGGAAGCCTCCAGTCCATTGGCTAGATGCCTCTCTCTGAAGATCCCTATCCATCTCTTGAGACCTCTCCTACAATATCTGTTGAATGTCTACCTGCTATGCAGCTTTTAAAAGTACATGCCATCAAAGCTCTTCAGGTGTTAAAGCTATTCTTCAGTCTTCCCCAGCTTTGTGCGCTCCAGATCTGTTGGCCATGCTGACTGGGGATGGTGACGATTGCCTCCAGCACATCTGGATGGCATGGTGGCCGGGGATGATGTGAGCTAGAGAGCACCCAGTTGGGACAGGTTGTTCTAGCTGAGGAACAGCTGCCCGCAGCTCCTTCAGTCTTTGCCATAAGGGCTTGGGGCCAGTGCCAGATATCATCACAGAGGGAGCTGTGCTCCTGGAATGGTTCCGGTTTCCAGCTGACTAAATGTTCCCAACACACTTCGGTCTTCATAGAAAAATGGGGAGAGAGGAGTTCTGCCGGCACTCTGTGGGCAATTGTACAAATGGCAGAGAACAAGCTGGCTGTGAGTTAATCTGCCTGCTTTCAGGTACTGAGAAATCTCAGGGGAGGCCTGTTTCTCCCGAAGAGCTCAAGCAGGGCTGCGTGGGTTTGACGGGGCTGGCGACAAAGCAAACACTCTCTTTCCCTTTTGCTTGGCATGAGACTGAGTTAATCAAACAACTGTAATGAACCTTGGGGCATTTCTCCTGGATTAATAACGAGCTGGGCAACTGCGATTCCAATTCGGGCACAAAGGAGAAGTGGGTCCATTAAGTCTGAGCAGGTAATTAATCCTTCTTGAAATGATCTGTGCCAAAGTCTGCTTTTGTGAAATTGACAGGGGTAGGAGGAAATACCCACTGAAAAATATATTGTTCTGTTACATTTTAGAGGGATGACACATGGTGTAAACATCCGTACTGCTTGAAACATCCTTTCAGAATTCACCCCCTGTGATTTCTGAGTGAACTCTCTGTGAGCTCCTTCATCTTAAAGCCAACTAGTGATAAAAGATGGGGCTTTCCACGCAGGATGCGCTCCTCTTTAGCAAGCAGCTTGCCTTCGCTCTGGCACAACATGGGCCATTCCGTGATCTGACATCTGTGAAGACATTCAGCAGGAGAGGTTTCCCAATTGCTGCATCTCCATGCCAGTTAAATCTTCTTCTGATCAGTTTCTGATTGTTGTAAAACTGTCAGCAGTACTAGAACTGTGCTAGAGAAGTGACGGCAGCCCTATTTCCTGTGAAACAGAAAAACATGTCGGCATGCTCCTAGCCTTTGTAAATCTGGATGATGGGATCCACGTTCCTGGGCAGCCAGAGTAAGGTAGCCAACTGCAAAAGGGAACAGGGCCTGTGCATCTTTAAATAGTTCTGCAGAAGATGATCATTTCAGCTGAAGTGGCCTCTAACGGGAGCCCCGCATCAAGACAGGGATGTCAGGAGCCCAATGATGCTTCTCCCGCCACTACAAAATGAACATAGACTTTTCCACCTGAAGCATTTATTATGAGGTCACAATTCCATACTCACCCTAATTTTTAGGCTTTTAGATGACATCATCATAGTCCAGGGTCACTTCTGTTCTTTTCAGAACACTTTCCTGCTTTTGTTGGTTTGTTTGCTGTTTTTAGAATGGGGATAATGAGCTATTAAATTACAACCAGGAAAATGGTGCTTCATCACCTGGTGCATTTATGTTGTGCTATCGTAGCACAACTTCATCTAGAGGTTGTATAGCAGAAGAACAGGAAAGGAAGAGCTGTTTGCGTAGAGTTTATCAGTTCTGTGACAATTCTGAAAGCGAGTCACAGAACAATAAATGCTGTGTGTACAAAAGTCTTCAGAACTACTAGAAATACTGAATGATCAGTTGCTGGTGGAGAGCATCAGGAGATGTCTCCTGCTTCTGGATTCCAGAAACATCTGGCTGGCCACTGTAGAAAGCAGGAACCTGGTTGTGAATGTGAAGGCAAGCAGGAATGCACTTTTGTGACATTTCTGCAATTTCCTGAGCTTGCACATGAAAAGAACATGCTTTTGTAAATGTGCAGTCCACCCCCCACAGCTGTGTTTTCATGGTGGAGGGAGGAGTCTGCATGCTTGGAAAACTACCTTTTTAGTTTTTGCAAATGCACTTTTCCTCTTCTCACCCACACAAAAAGAGAGCGAGAAAAGGCACTGACATTTTTGGAAGCAAGAATGACGTGAGATGAGCATCGAGGGAGAAAAGGGAGAACTTTGATGAGCTCAGATATCCCTTCTCCCATCCCTGCTTGTGAGCGGATTTCTCCTTCCTGTTTAGAAACCACGTGGTGCCGGGCCACGTAAACATCAGTCGGCATCAAATAGACAGGCACTCACTCACTCACTCACTCTTCTCTCTCTCTCCCTCCCTCCCTCCCTCCCTCTCTCGGCTTGATTTGGCAGCAGTGGAAAGGCGACCGCCATACACCAACGTGATCATGCCTAGTTTGTTTGGCATCATTTGCTTCCTTGGCATCGTTGGCAACCTGGTCGTGATCTACACCATCATCAAGAAGAAGAAGCTGCGGTGCAAGCAGACAGTGCCCGACATCTTCATTTTCAACCTTTCCATCGTGGACCTGCTGTTCCTGCTGGGAATGCCCTTCCTCATCCACCAGCTCCTCGGCAACGGGGCCTGGTACTTTGGAGCACCGCTCTGCACCATCATCACTGCTCTGGACACCAACAGCCAGATCACCAGCACCAACATCCTGACGGTCATGACGCTGGACCGCTACCTGGCCACAGTCCATCCTCTCAAGTCCACGTACGTCCGGACACCATCTGTGGCCGCCCTGGTCATTGGTCTGGTGTGGCTCCTTTCTTTTCTGACCATCATCCCTGTGTGGATGTATGCTGGGCTGATGCCTCTGGAAGACGGAACAGTCCGGTGTGCTCTTCTGCTTCCCAATCCCGAGACTGATATCTACTGGTTCACCATTTACCAGTTCATGCTGGCTTTCGCTATTCCACTCCTGGTCATATGCATGGTCTACTTTAAGATCCTCCAGCACATGGCTACCACTGTAGTGCCTCTGCCCCAGAGAAGCCTCCGGGCGCGCACCAAGAAGGTCACCCGAATGGCAGTTGCCATCTGCTCTGCCTTCTTTATTTGCTGGGCCCCCTTCTACATCCTTCAGCTGGTGCATCTTGGAATAGACACCCCCTCAGTTGCCTTCTTCTATGCCTACAACTTTGCCATTAGCTTGGGCTATGCCAATAGTTGCCTCAATCCTTTCCTCTACGTTGTCCTGAGTGAGGCCTTCAAGCGCCAGTTCATGGTGGCCATCCGTCCAGCCAAGGAGCGGTTTCAGGTCAATAGCAACACCAACAGCACAACAGAGGCCAGTGTGTGCCTGAAGCTCGCCCCAGAATCTACCCAGCAGATTCAGTTTTTGGAGGAATTTTCTCCACACTCCATGCCTTTGACAGTTGCTGCCCACTAGCTGTTCTTCCGCCAGGACTTCCCTGAGTCCTGCTGCTTTATGGCCACAAAACGTTCTCCTTTCCAAATCTCTGATACCTGGTGTATGTGTGCTAGCACTACAAATAAGCAGGGTGTAGGGTCAACAGGGACCTTAAAATACAAAGGTTGGGATCCTTCTTTCATATAAGAGGTGGAAGGTGCAACTGAGTGCACAGCCTCATGTACCAGAAGTCTTTTTGACATCCACCAGTTGATTACCAACACTGTACAAATGATCCGTCTTGAGCAGGCAAGGACATGTCAAGTATATGAAAGACCGGGAAATGACAACTTCCTGGCTGCCACTGAGCCAAGCGGCTTCTGCCTTATACAGGATGAACGCTGCAAAGCAACTCCACCGCTGAGCTTTCCCAAGCTAACACTTGGAAAACAAGTGGAGATGCACAAGTAACTTCATACCGTTGGCAGGAGGAAGAAGAAACAAGCAAAGCAACATCTCCTGCACTGGGGCGCCTCCTGCAGCAGGGGCAGGGAATTGCTGGCCTCCCATCGGCCAGTGTTCATTAGCTGGAGATGTGACCTTGGGAGAACATGGCAAAACATTATGGCATGAGCAGAGAAATAAGGAGAGGCAAGAAATCGCTTCAGTGGTTCCTAGGATCATCCACTGAAGTATATGGAATAAACGATAGGCTTCAAATCAAAAATCTCCTCTGGACACTTTCAAAGTTATGAGTAAAACTTGAGCCATGGGGGCTGTTCCTGACTCTCCACGAGGAGAGGCAGTGATGGGAGGAACGGGCTCCCCTGGGTCTTTGCCATTCACTCAGATGCTAAGACACCCGGAGCCTCCGCGTGTGGGAAGACAGCCTCCCCGTCGCTCGCTGCACGTACCGAAAAAGGAACGTCGCCTTTGAGGCGCAGAAGGGTGCTGGCAGCATTGTGGCAGTGCAGCAAAGGGGAGATGCCGACAGATGCTGCTTGTGATAGCTCAGCACTACAGGGGTGTGACGAGCGGTGTCTGCCCCAAAGCCTGCATTTATCAGACGTTATGTACAGAGAAAGATGGAGTGTCAGAAGGGCATGAGAAAAGCCATGCTGGATCAGACCAAAGGTCCCTGTTCTATAATACCTGAACAGAATGTTAAAGGTTTAAACAGCTCTCTTGCGAAAAGTAGGAAATGAAGGGAAAGAGCACGTCCTCTCCCTCTCCCTCTTTCACCCACACACCAGCAATTCTGATGCATGGAAAGGTGATGACCCTTGCTTTGTAGCGTTTTTACAACTTTGCGATGAAAACTGAAGTGAATGGAAGAGGGAGAAAAGTCGTCTTCCTTTGGCAAGTGGAAAGGTGCTTCTAGGAAGTGGGACTGGGGTGGGGGCGGGAGGGGTTTATCTGGCAAAAAGTTGCGACACACCTGACCAAGACAGGTAGTTTTTTCCCACCAGCAGCAGTAGCCATTGGCAACAGCTGAATGTTCGAAAATGGGCATGTGAAGCTTCCTACACTATGGAGAACCAACTGGCATAATCTGCCAACTGCTACCGATCAAACAGCTGTTAAACACAGAGGAAAAGCAGGAAAAGTCCTGCTATGCTATGCCTAATAATCAGAAACTACGCAGGGACCTGGCATGCCGGCCAAGCTCACTGGCAGAAGGAGACTGGCCAGAATGGCCACCGTTTACGTGAAGGGTCTGATTCCCTGCAGTAAGCGCCCTGCAGCCACGTGGCTGCCTGCGCGTCTTTTTCTCAGTGCTTCTCTCTGGGACCCCACATGCTCTCTGCTGTGGGGAGAGTCTTGCAGCCAGCAGAGGAGGAAACTGTCACAGGGAAGGGGCTTTAAAAAGTGGTCTGGATTTGTGAACATTTAATCAGGGTGGGGGAATATCTGAGCTTCAGACATTGTCACACTGTAGCTCATCGTCCCTGATCATTGGCCATCCTAGGTGGGGCTGATGGGAGCCGAACAATGCCAACAATATCTAAAGGAGCACAGCTCTGGCTGAATCGCTTTCTCCAGCTGCAGGTGCAGATCTCAGATCTGAGGTGGATACAAACCGCTTGACTAAGGCAGCTGCAGCAGGCTGCATCGGACCCTTTCCCGCTAAGGTATGATCCAGCACTCATTGCCATCTGCTCAGGGAGAACTTGGGCAGTGGCTAAATGAGGATTTCAGTATTGCTTGCAAGACATGTGAGCATGCCCGGGTCAAATTCCCTGAACAGAAGGGTGAATTCACTGAAATATTCACAGATGGTCAGGCATGTGCTCTCATTCAATTTGCACAGCTTTTCCAGTTTGGTTTTGAGCACATTTGCTTTAAATCATGGGAGGAAAGTTGTGCAAATTAGGGCAGTTGCACCAATGTGAAGAAGGCTGCACACATCCCACACCAGAGCTCAATTTCTGTGAGTTTGGCCAGAGCAAGTGACAGACACCAATGGGGATCAGGTGCAGGACAAGTAGCAAGCCAGTGCTGGAGAATTTTAGTGACTGGCCATTGGCTAAGCTGGACACAATTTGTAAGGAAGGTGATCTGGTGAGTGAGTGAGTGAGTGAGTGAGGGAGTGAGTGAGTGAGTGAGTGAGTGAGTGTGAGAGAGAGAGAGAGAGAGAGAGAGAGAGAGAGAGAGAGAGAGAGAGAGAGAGCGCGCACCATCTACAGTGTCCTTTCAATCTGACCAGAACGAACTGGAAAATAATGTGTAGTTATGTACATATGTTGTGCTAAATGTTGCTTGCCAATGTAACATAAAAATGGGATTCTATTTGTGTGTTGTTATGTTTTGGTTATGCTAAGAATAAAGTTATTATTCCAAAAATCTTATTTTCTTTTTATCACTGCCAAAAATGTTTAAAGAATACATTTTCATTTTTATTCATTTATTTAGAGCATGCACCCTCTGCTTTCATGTAAAATTCCAAGAACACCTTACCAAATGTGAAAATATATGTAAAATGTGTACATTGAAATATAATTAGAATACTTTAGGAAAAAAACCAGTAGAAGAGGTATAAAACAACAAATCCAGTTACAATCAAATGCATCAGATCAAATTAAAAGACCTGAAAAAATAAACCAGACCCAGTGAAAACACCTACGGCCGTCTTTGTTAGGTGCCAAAACATGATCAGCATAAGTGTCAGGTAAGCTCCCTGGAAAGAGTGTTCCAGAATCAGGGTGCCACCACCGAGAAGACCTTCTTTCAGTAGCCTCCTGACATTTGAAGACATATAGGGCTGAGTGAAGCAGCAGCTCCAAGCGGCAGATTCTGAGAGGTGGGGATATGTGATAAGGCGTGGAGAAAGTGTGTGCTTTGCTTGATGCCTCCATGTGCTGTTCCGTCCCCAGTAATAAGATTCAGATGCTTGTCTGGTCCATTGCTACATACAGAACAACCTGGCATGGATCTCACCATACTCGGGAGCATCTGGTGGGGATTTTTGTATATGGAAAGATAAGTAGGGATAATTCAGGGCGCAATCCTTTGCATGTTTAGACAGAAAACATGGTTGGCCAGGGAACATTGTGGGGTACAGAACGTTTTCTGCCTAAACATGCATAGCTTTGCACCCTAAGTTATCCCCTGCACCCAGACTCAAATCTAGGTCAGAGCGTTCTTATATACCCAGCGTACATCCCACCATGTAAATTAGCTGTCACAGAATGGAAGAATATGCATTGCCTCTGAAATTGCCACCTGGATTAGGTAGCTACAGCGCCACTCACAGTCCTGAATCTGAAGCTGATGAGGACTCTCCATATAAAAAGTGGTGTGTGTATGTGTGTGTACACTTAATAAACACTTGCTGAAATACAGTACCCATGGGCCAGCACTCTGTCCCTTCATGATGCATGCAAAGGACAACACTGGGACATCCTTTCTGAGAGTTGAAAGCAGTTGTCCACTGTTAAGAGTCCCAAGCTCCGAAGAAGCTTTCCCCCAATCCCTCGGGAATGATGACATTTACATGATTCTCATTCCGAGGGTAGTGTAAAACAATCTCGTATCTATTAGCCATACAGTCACATACTTTGGTAAAAAGGTGCTGGAGTAAATCTAATACGATAGCCATCCTATTTCCATCTTCCTCTGCCTCTACATTTGGATTGGCCAGTCTTGGAGGTAGATGGAATAGCTATTAAGTTTTGTCTGATCCAGCAGAAGCAGTTCTTACATCCACATCAACCAAATAATTCAAAGCCAGCATTTACAAGACAAGAGTATGCAAATGGACCTCATCATGGAAAATCGTACTTCAGGGGAAAGCCACTGCATTATAAAAATACAGTTGCTGGCACACATTAATTAAATGTACATCTCATAGCACTGGGGCACTCTCAGATCAGTGCCTCTAAGGCATTTCCACTTAATGAAGAGACTACAGAAGAGACAACATAAGTAGTGGATTACGCTCCTGTACCGCCATGCAGGAATCCCAAGGGGCATATTCAGGAAGGCTAAAGCAGCTTGTTAAAAGAACCTCTATTGATGCGGGGATGGATTTTGTCGTAAAGGAACATTTAATACTATCTCCCCAGTTCCTTGCACACACATCTGCAGCAGCCACAACAACTGTGCACGGCCACCTGCTCATGCAAACACAGACACACACACACACACACACACACACACGACATAGCAGTTCCATACTAGAGATGGAGAGCAAGAATCAGTGGATGCAACCAACAATATTTCTTTACGGTATGAAATAAATTATGCAGAAAGATATGTGCTTATTTCCACCCTAAAGGTTTTTTCATATTGTCAAAGCATCTACTGATTGCTTACATCTTAACAAAGCATTAGGTGACCAGAAAGTTTCCAACAAAGAATGGCATCTTCTCAGCTGATTACATGTAATTAGCAGAAAAGTTCTAGCAATAGTCACTGCCTGCTCCGGAACATTGTTCTAGACAATTAGACACAGGCAGTAATGATGTTAGATGGTAGAACCTAGTATTGTTTTTTTCAGGAAAGCTGTAACCCCCTGGCTTTAGGCTGGAAGAAAGCAC